TTCTTTCACTTCTTGAAATTCAATAGGTTTCTTTTCAATAGTTTTTATGATAGTATTTTTTATTTCTTTTTCATTTGCTTCAATATCTTCTTCTGTGTCCTCTTTAATAATTAAATTACCACTATCTTCAGAATTTTCTGAATCACTAATCTCACTAATACTTTCAGGTATGTCTTGGGTATGYTTTTGTTTCTTTACATTGAGCTCATTAGAAGGCAATTGAGCTGTATCTGAATGTACCTGGGAATGTAATCTATACTTTTGTGCTATTACATCAAAATAATAATAACATCCTTGGTTGCCATCATAAAATAATCCATTATCCTGTAATTAAAAATGCTCATATAAGTCTCAGATCAAATGTACAAACAATTTGTTTCATTTAAATTTATTAATATACAAGTTTTACATTTATTTGAATTACATGTAAGACTAAACTATTGATCAGTATATCTGAATTAAATGCTCAATGTGTACATGGATGAAGCAATTCATTATGTGACCATGAATATATGTATTAAAAAACTCTCAGACTTATGATTTTCAATTTTCGAATAAATATTTAAAATGAAAATAACTATTTATTTGATTCTTTCAAAGTTAAAATTTAGTAACTTTTAATTAAGCTACATAACGAGATACATTAATTTTAAAGTTACTTTTAACTAAAGAGTTGAATTATAGTAAGTAGATGCAAATCAGTTAACTTTTTTATAAATATAAAATTTAAGTCGCATAGATTTAAAATAAATATTTTTTTTACAATAAGAAAAATATTTGAAATACCAATTTTATTATGTGGATTGTAAATATCATAATTGTAGACTCTTGSAGTTTTGAATGAACTAATTATGGACATAAATAATAATCTAAATAACATTAAAAAAATACAATTTTATATACATTTTCATAGAAAATTATAATTAATTACTTAACAATGATACTACAAGACAATTAGACAACCCATTTAGTTGTTTCAAGAGAAATTGGTATCATAATTTCTAAAAATTAATAACTTCTGTTAGTAGGGTTCCATCATTGAATAGCCTTTCTTCCCATTCTGTTATTTTTAATAAGAATTGTCTTACATGAAACATGTATTATTTAACTATTTACCTATTTATAAATTGTGCAAAATTGTGCATTTATAATTATATCAAATTTGCTTATTGTGCTACAACATAAATTTGATTATTCACTTAAGTTACAATTTTTACTTGACTTAGATTTTTTAAATATAATTTTAATTAATTAATTGCAATTAAAAATCCTMTATGTGATATTGGATAAGATTTAACCACATTAATCTTTAAAACAAATATGGAACAACTATAACTATCAATTTCAATGGGTTAGTCTTGGCTGGGAACTTGTTAAAAATTCATACTCATAAGCTATATGCTCTTAAATATAACTATTCTAGTATTCTATAATTCTATAATACTCTTAAATAATAATATAATTAACATTGATGGTAAAATAAATTAAACTTACTAAATTATAATAATAACCAGTCACTTGATCATAATACATTCCAGTCGTTTCTTCTAATATAAAACGACTTTCTCCCAAACTATACTGATTGACTTGTTTTGAATCTTTAGATTTTTCTTCATCTTCACTACATTCTCCTTCTTCTTTGATTTCAGATTCTGATTTTACTAGGTTATCAACTTCTAGATTTTCAGATTTTTTAACATTTTCCAACTTTTCAATCTATAACAATAAGCATAATTAACTACTTTTCTATAATATATAATAACTAATTAATGTATGGCATGGATTTATTTTTTACATATAACACCTAATAAAATTATAATCTGAAGAAAAATTAGAATTGTCAAAAATAATTATGGGATTTAATTTTTAATAATATAGGTATATTATATAGAATAGTTATGAATACAGACCAGATTTTAATAACCTCATAAAGGTTAGAACAAAATATTTTTAAGCAATTTAAATGCAAACTTTTTTTTACATAAGCACCTTAAAATAGCTATAAATTAATTCCATTTTTAACAGCATCTAATAAGAAAATTTGTTTTTCTTTGTTTTATAATAGGTAAMTAATAGTTGACAAACTATAAATTATACTTTAAATAATTTACAAAAATAATTAAATAATTTGTTATATTATAATTTATGTGTAGTTATTATTATACACTTTTTATAGTGTGAAGGAATTCTAGAGTTCTACATTCACTAAAATCAACATTATAAAAAATTGCCCAAATATAAATAATAACAATTATAATAATAATAACTATTTACTTTTTCTAGATGCTTTTAGTTCTACTTATATTCAGTCTTCTAAATAATTTACCTATTATTGTTGATTCAATATAGGTTCACATATTCGATAAATATTATAATAGAAAAATAAGTATCACATTAATACTCTGGTCACCAAAAATATGATCAATAAAATGTAATAATACTTTACTAACAATTTAAATTACTATTTAATTTTTTTTTCAAATATTTATTTTTTGTTAATTTTAATCGTAAAAATTAAAGAAATATTCAACATCTAAAAATCTATTTATATCGTAAAAGAAAAATAATATTTTGTTTATAGATTTGTCGTAAAATGAAACATACAGAAAACTTGTCCAAACAATAATTGCATAGCTTTAGTTAAAGTAATACAAGAACATAAAAGTCTTGTCTATACATATAACATATGATTTAAAACAACCTTGGTAAGTTTGAAATGTTGAAAACAATTATGTATCTTAAGTATAAGATAATCATAAAAAAAAGGTTATGTAAAATCTCAGTAAATCTAAGCGCTTTTAAATTATAACCAGAAAATGTATCAAAATGTAGTCTACAATGTAAGCAACAATAATCATTAGTAATGGTGTGGCAACTGAATCCTATAACTCTATAAGTGATAKATTAAATGGTAGATGGTAGTGTAACTGAGTAAGCAATATTATCCATCAATCATGTGTATAAACTAAATAGGATCTATTTTACTGAGACAAATTGTAGGAGTCAAAGGTACAATCACTTATATATTATTTTGGTTGAGTTAGAGCAAGACTTTTTCTCTTTTGAGATAAACATAATACATATCTCGGGTGTTATTAGAAATCACTAATAACTTCTTGTCTGCCATGCATTAATATTAATAGATAACTTCCTTGAAATTATATACAAATCAATATTTTATCCATTTTATTTTATATAAGCCATAAACATAAGTGAAAAACTCTGTATACTCTAATGTTCATGAAATAAACATTCATTCTGTATCTATTTCATCGGCTTTCTTAAATTTAACAAAAAATATACTTACATTATGTGCACCACTATCAGAATTTTTATTTGGTTGATTTTTAATTTCTAAAGTGTCTTTTTTAATGTTTTCGGTGCTTTTAACTAATTCAGAATTTTGGTCCAAGCATTCAGTTTTAATGTTTGATTTCTATTTGAAAAAAATTACAGTCAATAAAGTAAAATACTTTTATTTAGCATTGAGAAGTGCGTGACACAGTTACCTTGAAGTCGATTGAATTGCTGTTTTTTATCTTGGCCAACAAATTCTGTTGCCGTTGTAGCATTCGCATGGCATTTTTTAAATACTCGTACACTTCAGGATGACTATGTTCCAGAAGATCCTTAAACGGAACTTCCACATCGTCCATCACGATTCTGGAGGTACTGGCGGTATAAAATGGATCAGGGTGGACGAGTTGATAGTATTATGATTAACTCTTAGGCTTCACATATCAAACCAATAGCTGTCTCGGCAGTAGCAATCTCCAGACCACAACGATGTGAATGGAATGAATGAATAATGAATTGGTTTTGCAAAAGCAAAATGCCGTTTCAAAAAACGTGTGCTTGATAAAKAAAAAATTTAGTGTTTACACTGTTTATATCATCTTTGCATAATTAACGAATATAGGAGTAAATAAAAATAATGTTGTTAAGGCACAAACCAAAGTCCATTCTCTTTGACAATTTACATTTAACGTACTAAAGTCAAAGTGCGTATTTTAATATACGAATTTATTATTCTGTGGCCTGGAATGAAAGATCCGACTATAACAGCTGATGTACAAACGTTTGGAACCCCTGTCTAAATTACCCGATCCCGTTCAAAGGTATTTGATAAGAAGTAAGAACATAAAACATGATATTATAATTTTCATTTTTTTGAATTTTCTGTAGTTTTCTAATAGATATATTTCAGTAATTTGTGATCGCATTCTTAAATAATATTGGTAAATATGGTAGTAACTAATGACATTGAGTTGCCGACGTACGAAGAATTGACAGTGGAAGAAGTGCCCATCAGCTCTCCGGGTCTCCGTGCCGCTGCTCATCATATTGGTAATTTTTTTTAATGTTATTAAAACTATACCTATGTCTATATCATTATGAGGCGTGGATAATTGTATCTCTCGTGTCTACTGTGTTTAGGTAAATATTGCCTGGATGTAAACGATGAGTTTATGATGTGTAAGCAAGAAACTAATGATCCACGTAAATGCTTAAATGAGGGCAAGGCAGTCACTAGCTGTGCGCTTGAATTCTTTAGGAAGTTGAAAGGCAATTGTTTTGATGAATTTCAAATTTATAGCAACTGTATCGACAAATCTAGTAGCCGCATGGATTTTGAACCATGTCGTAAGACACAAGCGGTGTATGATAAATGTGTGTTTGAAAAAATGGGCATAGAGCGACCTGAGCATGGATTCTTTTGTAAAGCTCGTGTCTACACTGGAAATCGTCCGAAACCTCCAGTTCAAGAACCACAAGTGTTTGGTGAATTGCCAGTTGGTCTCAAAGACTTTAAAGAAGAAGAACGACCACCCGCGAAATACGGACAACGTAATTGGTTTATCAAGTAATCTGTCTGTATAAAGTTTACAGTTTAATATTATTACTTATTAGTGTTTGTAAAAAAAAAAAAAACAGTTATTATTATGAGATCAGAAATTGTATATTCATTTAATTTTCTCGCTGTAGACAATTGAATTATAAATATTTTATATATATAAAAAAAAATAAAGTATTTATAACATAATTTAGCTATATATAAATTGTTATGAAATAACCGGCTCACAAATATTGAACTACACTCTATTCGGCAGTGACCAGTTTTCATCAGCGACGATCAGACACTTCCCCCATTTAGTCAAATAATGAATTCTGCGCTGAGAAACAAAGCACATCCATGCGCAGAAGTCGGTCGTCGAGGTACAATCTCATTTTAAATAGAGTTGTGCTCTTAAAATTATATACAAATATAAATAATTTTATACAGGACAATGTTTACAATTATTTTCTATAATGGTGTATTTGAAATATCTAAAAAGTCAAATGTTAATTCAACTGGTCTGACAGATCCAAAGAAGTCAGTGATTGGAACTTTGGCGAGGTCTCTGTGAAATAAATCTATTCGTACTCCCACTGTTGAAATACAATCTTGTTTAGGACAAACACCCAGCTAGAAAATAAAATTAACTATAGTTATTATTTATTATTATGTTATTAAAATGTCAAGTATAAATATTGAGAGTGAATATGTATGATTATCAATTAAAAAATAGGTATTATCAATTTTAATTTATAGTATAAATTATTTACAACAAATTTATTCCATTGATTCGCTAACCAATAATAAAAATGCTTTTTAGTTTGTACACAAAACTTTTGTTACAAGAATAAAATCTTGATTTATACACAGTTTCACCACTAAAATCAGTTATACAAAGTGTTATAAATATACCATAATATATAAAATAAAAACTTACAAAACTTTTCATGCTAATACGACTCTTTAGTTTAACATTCTCTAAAAATTTCAACGCATAAAATGTGTAACGATCAATTATGTACACTCCAATTGCTGGATCTACGTGATGCTGAAATACAAAATATTTTAATTATTTTATATTTTCTGTAATACAATATCATGCATAAAACTCTTACCGAAAGGGAATCTTCACCTACTAAGCTACTAGCCATTGCAAGGATGTTAGGTGAGTAAAATTTTTCATACATTGATGAAGCTTGACAAGTATCAATCATGAAGAATATTTCATGGTATCTAAGAATAAAATATAACATACATAGAGTATCAATGATATTGATTTATAATGAACACAGCCGATTTTAATACCTTCTTTTCTGCCACATCTGTTCAAGAGCATCAGCTAACTCTTGGCTGGTAACTTCTTCAGAATCTTGAAACTTAAGAAATCCATCACCACCATGGCCAGTAAGGTATATCAAGATGTTGCTACCTTCATCAGTAAGCAACTGTTTTGAACGAGGAGTATCAGGAGGTAATCGACCCGTCAATAAACGTACAAAGTTTTCAACTGTTACCTAAATATTCAAAGGTTTAAAAAAATTACAATTAATAAGTAAAATGAAACATTTACCTCATAGCCTCTAAAATCGACTTCAACGTCATCACCATAAACGTTTAGCTGTTGATCAGCATTATTGAATACAGTTGCAGGACTGGGATTTCGAGGGTTACATGCCATGTCATCAGCGACCATTAATATTATCTGACTAAAACCATTACATTATTAGAAAAGAATTAAACATTTTAAATTTGTCATGAGTATATTTTGTACCTGTCCGGTATACCAAGACGTTTGACACTTCTGTAAATGGACAAAACGTTTGCTACATGCCTGTAATTGAACCAAAACCTTGATGTATCGACCAGAACTGCCCAATTATTCGAATGATTAGCCTATTAAAAAATGTAGGTGTGACATTTTATATAATATGATCGACGACATTTGTTTAATTAGAGTGCTTACCTGACACTCATGTATGTTCAAGAAATTAGCACAGAAGAGTAACAATAATAAACAATATGATTTCATATTGAACACGAAATTAAAAAATAACTGAATTAYTGTGCTTATTGAATTCTTATTGTTTTTTTGCTATTTTGCATGTTTGCAGTAAATAATCATTAATGTTATCTACGCCGGTTATCTGATAACAGTTGCTYATCTTTTTTTGTATGGAGGGGATTATAATATTGAATATTCTCCATTTCAGTTGGTAACATGATTATATTTATATAGATGTATATATTTATTATTACAACTAGGTATAGTATAATTAATCCGTAATCACAACATAAATCAATGATCTAATGTTCTATATCCAAAACCATTTATATGACCTACATGATTTATAGTAGAAAAAATGCATTGAATTTCAACTTTGGGATGGTTTCTGGTAGCAAATTAATTTGATACTTTTAAATGTTTATGATTGATTTTATTTTCTAATGGAAAAGTGCTTACATTATGTTTATGTCGCTTATAATGTTCTATAAATTTAAATATTATCAATTAATATTTATTTTTGACTCATTTTGAGCTATTTATAGATATTTAATAATTGAACATTTTATTTTGTTTTTATCATACAATATTTACTTTGTCAAACGTCAAAAAAATTTGAAAATTTAATTCAAGGTTCGTCAAATTATCGCCGAGTAATTATCCGATCTCAAGATTTTCATTTTCTGTCTGTGTATTCCGCTTGTCGTTTACATGACTCTATGTAGCTGACTATAGGTATCCGATATTATACAACTGGCGATTGTAAACTCTCCCAGTTTTAATGGTATCAGGTATGTAAGCTGTAAACTCTCCTGATGTTAAACTCTTTCGGGWCTACTCCAGTACATCTTGATTGGCACATGTAAACTCTACCAGGTTTACAATTACATACTTGAGTATAACTAAGTTGGGGGAGCATAGAGCATTATTCGTATTACACAGTTGAAAACACTAAAATACCTACTAAAATAGTTCAGTCCATCGTCTGTTATCAATGTTATCATAATATGTTAAGAACACTTATTATTTATTTTATTATTAGTAAGTTTTGTACGAACTATGATTTTCATTTATATTTCTTAATTTCTTAATTACTTTTGTAATTGTAATTAAAAATAAATGTACTCGCATCTTGTCTGGTTGAACGTTAAAAATGTAGACTTGCTTACTTTTAAATAATAAAATTAAGTCTTGTATAATGTATAATTTCTTTTACTTTTTATTTACCTATATAGGTACCAAGTTAGTAAACATAATTTTGACTCGGGAGGGTTTACCATACAATTGGAGAATTTACCACCACCCTATACAACTAYTGCACTCACACCAATTATTATCGTTTACGACTAACACAAATGTCAAGGGCATCAGCGACGAAATTRCATATTGCCTAATATTAWTCCTAATTAAATACACACGTGCAAGAGGAGCTTCCCGAATGCTTCTCGAGAAAAAAAAATAGTTACCTATAATAAGGGTGCACCACGAGGAGGTGAACTGGCTTATAACCCAAAAATATTTGGTTATTATTATTTATTTAATAATTTTGCCTTACTTACCTAACCTTAGGTGCACCCATTTTTAAATGCTGATTGGGCGTAGATACTAATATTTAATAATGTTTATAATTTGATATTCATATTATTTATTGATTTTTGGTTTATTATTCAATACTGCGATTTTCACATATTCAAATCTAGAAATTCATTCAATTTGATATTTTAAATATAGATATCATCTTTTTGACCGATTTCACGTTATAATAATTGACMAAACAATAATAAAAATGAAATAAATGTTATGACTTATGAATYAATTAATTACCTAGGTACTTATTTCTTCCTATGTCGAATCAAATCAGTTGACAGTTGCCGTATGACATACACTCTATAAACCAGTGGATACTTCTATTTTTTTTTATGGGTCTATTCAAATTAAATAAATATTATAGATACCATTCAATATTTATAGACAAAAAAAATAATGGTGCCCTTTTCATTTATTGCACATTTTAATTTATCAGCGATTACATTACTTACATACTTGGRGCATACTCATTGACCTTATACTAGTATATAAACTTTATATATTAGTACAAGGTCAATGAGTAATTTATATTATAAAGTATAAGGTCTATAGGATGACGGATGAACTAATATTATTAGCAATATTATAATAAGGACGCACTTAGACTACTAAAAAGTAAAAAGGTACAATTGTACACTTAAGGGAACAGAATTGGGCGACGCCYCTTATAGAATACCGAAATAAAGCAATTTTACCTACCTATAATAAATTGTCATTAGGTATATGTATAATATATATGTATGCAATATGCCAATATGTATATTTAGTAAATTAATAGGCTGACAGACAGTATTCGCCAGAATCGTTTTTCGTATGCAATGATTTATCTTTGAATTCAAATTTAACACATGCATACATATTAAAATGACTTGCTTCTAGCTCAATGGCGAGTTACACTAGATACCTACAACAATACATCAGAGTGGTTATCATCTTTYCCACTGTTTAAATTGTCATCAAAAATCTATCAATAAAAGTATATGTGTAGGATCAATAATCATTGTCACGATGCTCAATGCTATATATTTATTTATGTATTATAAGAATAAAACATACTTACTACAAAAATAGGGTAAAAGTTGATTCACCTTAAATTGATAACTATTCTCAATATTTTTATACTGATACTATTAAGTGTCTAATGTCTATAGTATACTACAAAATGTTTTCACGAATAAGAACTTTTCAACTGATCATATTTGTACGAATCTGAATGGAATAAATATTAAAAATAGTTTAAAATAGTAATATATTTTGGTATTTCATTTTAAACAATAATATAGTCTATAGGTACTCAATACGATACGATAATATTCCAATGCTCTAGTAATGGCAATAGCTGGGTCCATTGGCCGGCTGAGCGGGTATTCCTCTCCGCCTCATCCTGCAAACGTGTTCCTCAAGCCTGTTCTTGGCTTCAGTCTCGTTGAGCTGATGCGACCAGAGCACTTCGGCCACAGCGCAGGTTCTGGGCCACGTGGTTGGTAATAAGTTTGTTTCGTCAGCGAACTCACCCCACATACAGGCCTCGCCACCCAAAAACAATCGGTTATCGCCGGCCACGGCAGTCGGATCGCACCTGTAGAAGTTCAGCCAATCTCTACCGTATTTGATGTAGTTCATGTACCAGCAGCTGGAAAACAGCACTGGATGTCCGCATTTCATTATCTACAATAGAAAACGCGGAAATTCTTTTATAAAATTAAGGATTTCCTGCACGTCACGATCGATATCGATTAGTCTATTCCGAATAATACCTATACACCAAACAGTATTGTCGTACATCGATACTATTATAATATGATACTTGGATCATTACAGTTTTTTTAAATTGCGTGATGGGTGAGTAATGATCAATGGGCAATGTGTAATAATTTGTATTAACTATAAATAGTACATTAGGTATATAGTACCTATTTAGTAATAATTGCGACAAGTTGTTATAAATATTACAGTGGATATCTTTATCGGGTTATTAGTGCTGATTGATAGGTGAAATATTAAACTAGTCTCTAAACAATTTTCAAGTTCACTTCGCCACTTCTATGGTAGGTGATTGATCGACGTCATAAGTCCATAAGTGTCTGCTAATTTCGAACGAACCACTAAAATTGATATAACCTAACTCTTTTGTATAATACATATTATACAAATACTTGCCTCCGACATTATCGAAGAGTTATAATCACTCTTCCACACTTGTACTACAACGTTGGAATCGAGTTGGATATTCTCGTCATATAATTCTTCCCACACAATGGGTATGGTTTTTAAAGTTCGCGTCATTTTGAATATGTTTGTGAAGTAGTAAGTTTTTAATTCGGTGACGTTTTTCATGTTATTGCGGTGCATAAAAACTTGTATCCTTTTGTTCGTTGTCCTGCAGTCAACGAAAACCAATTTATTATATTTAATGTTTACATCACCTAACAATCACATAAGTAAATACTAATTCAACGCAGATTTTTTGGGGGGAACGCTTGAATCAGATTAATTTTAAGTCTACCTGTTATGCACCCGCAGGACTTCCATTAATGTGTAGTTCTAAATTAAAATATGGGATGATACCGTATCGGCTCCCGCCGGACGTTAATGAGTCCGTATCGGCTCCTGGTCGTTATTCTTTACCGTCCGTTGAATGGCCGTATTGCGTCCGGTTTCGATAACAATTTTTTTGATAGCTAGTTAATCACATATATACAGTTATATGAAATTACAAAATATTGTTTAATGTTAGTTCTCGTTTTATTGCGAAGTGTAGTGCGTCTAAGCATGTAGAAAACTTGTTTGCTCTAAAACCAGAAGGTAACAACTCATAGAATTTGTCGACTACATTTGTGCCAATTACTTAGATGACAGRCACTTCCCCTCGGAAATGTGGGCTGATATGTCGAGTACAGGTGATCGCACCACAAACTGCTGCGAATCTTTCCACGCAAAATTCAATGCTGAGTTCACGTCTGCTGATCCTAACATTTTCAATTTCATGGAAATTTTGAAGCAGATACAGGCTGACACGTATATAAAGTTCCGCAGCACGAATATTAGGAAAAAAACTAACAACCAGCAAAAGATTTGTAGTGTTATTCAGAAATGTATTGATCAATTTAAAGAAGGAAAAATTATCAGAGCGGAATACGTAAAAAAAAGTATTCTTCAAGTTCAAACCACAAATTTTTAAATTTTTTACCTTACCTAAGTTAACATTATTTTTAAAACTACAAAAAAAAAAAAATTAAGACAACACAATTTTTTAAGTTTATTAAACTCTTTTTTAAAAGAACACAATTTTTTATTTTAAACGCCAACAACATTTTTAACCATGCCTACAGAGAATTTCTTCTCACCGTAGCCAGTCAGCCTGTAAATGGGAAGAAAAATGTTAGTGATTTGGAGCCGATACGTCCATACCACTGACATCGGGTCGGAKCCGATACGGTCACCTTCAAATTAAAGGAGGGAGCCGAAACGGACGAAAACGGGAGCCGATGCGGATACTTCCAAAATATGCAGTACATAAAATTATCAAGATATGAATAGTTCAGAAATTATTTGAAAACTCAAAACRTACAGTTAAATATTGTTTTCCAAAATAAATAACGATACATATTAGTGATTGTTATTTGGTAATTATTGACATGAACGTTGAAAATAATATTATTATCATTATTTGATACRTTTATGATGATTTTAAAACTTGTAGACATACAATAATAGTTTTAGATATTTTTTAACGTGTGTTCAACGGTATGGTAAGTTAACGATATATCATAAAATGTATAATTGCATCGCAGCATACATAAAACCAGCAAGTCCGACAATTTCTATTCTAATCATACTATTCCGTCGCAACACAAGAACATTCTGTAGTGGTCGCACTATACATATAACGTCATAAACGGCTATGTGGAAAATACAATAAGTTGTRTTATTTTTCGTCGTACTCGCCGGATTTATGTTTGAATAGAATTTATAAGTTCGTGAAACCCAATTCTAAAGTCAATATTAAATTTAATATAAAATATTATTTTTTGAATTTATTTTCATACCAATTGTAAAATATTTTAAACATTATATTTGTACGATATTAATTCTAGGTATTATACAACACATTTCAATCATCGAATTTTAAATATAATATGGCAATACGCTAATAATAGCGATCGAAACAACTGTTAATTTTTTTTAAATACACAAAGATGTGCAGTTTTAGAAATTCTTTAGGACAGGCTTGTAATGTATACATATATCTAATACTGATTGCACTGCATAAGCCCGACCACATAGACAAATAACCACAATTAGATTATAAAATACAAATATTTAGTAAGGTTTATATTAATTTAAATACTCTCATTCAGCATTCTACTATTAAGCAAGAGCCTGACTTAAATGTAAGATTGGGTATGGTGATACGCCCAAGCTGAAATATAGTAATTAATACACAAAAACAATTAATTGTCATTACCAACACGTCGAATTTACTTCATCGCCACCAAGGTGTAAATAATTGTCTTGGAATAACTCAACGATTTCAGATAATAGCGTCTTGATAAATTTGTAGTTTTTTTCGACTGTTGGGTCGATAGGGCCAAAATTATTTGGGTCAGAATCTGAAYACTGAGTAAATAGTCCCGGAATGCCACCAAGTCGCCAAGATAATGCATGTCCTACATATATGTATAAATATGATGATTGTACAAAATATTAAGTATTAATTACACATGAAACAGTCTGTTCAGTGTTCTTATAATATATATATAAATAGATATATACATTTATTTATTTGTTTACCTATATACTGCAACATGCATTATAGATTTTTTATCTATTACTTGTTGTGTGGTGTCTGTTCTTACCTGGGGTGTCGATTTCTGGGATAACACGAATGCCTCGAAGTCTTGCGTATTCGATTACATGTTTGACATCATCTTTCGTATAAATGGCTGATTTTCCGTAAGCTCCTCTTTCACTGTACACAATATGTAAATATAAAAATGATGTCCAATAAGGCAACAATTRCAGCGCTTACTGTCGTTGATATGGTTTTAAATTTTTTTTTCGATGATTATATATAATAATATTATATAAGTACACTACAAATTATTGATATTAGGTAAAACAAAATGTCAAACCTCAGGTTTGGAAAAGCGCTGCTCTGATACGGGAAGCTGTTGTCGTCCACTATGTGCCAATGAAATACGTTCATTTTTGAATAAGACATGGCGTCTAAAGTTTTCGTTATTAATTCGATGGGGTAATAATGGCGAGATGTATCTAATAGAAATCCTCGATGCCTGAATTTCGGATAGTCTACTATTGACGTACACCGAATTACAAACTGTATATATACGATTAAATTTTACATTATATAGATTTGCCTCATTTGCGCGAATGTGGACAAAATGCTTTAAATATTACCGTCGAACCATCTGCTTCCAAATAAACTAACTGAGAAAAAGTTTCTAGACCCCTGAGAATACCCCAGATAGATGAAGCTAATAAMAGTCCACTGGAATTATTTATTTTGATTTCATCTGCACAAACAAAAAAATAATATGAAAAATGTATTCTTGTTCTTAATAAAAATAAAAGGTGAATTATCAAAATATAAAAATGAATCTACATTTTTCATCCATATTTAACGAAGGATAATTTTCACATGGATTTGTCATCTTCACATTCAGCACATCCAGCTTACCAATGATAAAATTCGTAGATAAACTATTATGTTGCTTAAAAGTTTTCGTAGCTTTTAAAAATAGCATAGAGTTATACCTTTTAAATGCATCTTGAAGGTCATCACAACTATAACCAGTACTCTAAAAAAAAATAGTTCTCTCTGATGATGTTAAATTTAATACTATTCAATACCGTATACTTAATATAAGTATATATACACGCAATTACTAAAATATATGCAGGATAATACTTTAAATTATTTAAAATATAATTTTTACTATAAAATATTGGTTGAAAAATTCAAAATATTATGCATGTTTTAGTTATTTATATATGTTTGGTCTTACATTAAAATGAAAATCTTCTGGTTCAAATCTTAAGTATTTGTCGTAGTTGTGTTGACGCGCAGGTTTCGGCCACACTTGGCCATTGGTCATTTTTACAAGTGGCCCCACATTTTGGTTGAACGAATGCGGTACAGAGGATAAAATAATATAACAAATAACGAATGTATTCATAAACAAATTATTATAAAGCATCGTTTAAATGCAAATCACAAATTACAATATTAAAGGTGACACTGTGCAGTTTATTTACACTTTTACACTTTAAAATGTTGGGTATAGTAAGTACCTATATAACAGTTATAATATACTTATGCTAAGTTAATATAATAAACGTCCACTGGCCACAAAGGCTATCGAGTCAATGCACCGCTTAAACTTGACAACAATAAACTAATATTATTTATATTGCTGTTGCTGTTATTCACTATTATTATTAACAGCTAGTCATATAACTATTACTACTTATCACAATTCAAGATTTACTCACAGGTTATACATAATGTTTTGCTATTATAAAAGGTTATCAAATTGATTTATGAAGCGACTTTAATATAAAACAGCTATAAGAATTAACTACCAGCGAAAATATAAATAATTTTATATACGTCTTCTATGGCACTGTGGCAACTATATCACAGAATGGAATATAATATATTTATTTACTGTAGTAATGACACACTAACGTTTGGACGTCGGAGTGCTACGAATTATTATTTTTCTAGTCGTGACATTATTATTTAATCTATTTTCTTTATCAGTAGCTGATGGAAATAATGATGTTGCATAAAACGATAGATGATAAAAATACATAACAATAAACATTTTATTTYAATTAGTAATATGGACATCTGTCAAAATACCATTATTCATTGAAAAATATGTTTATATTCTACATTGTTCTGCGGTTTATTCCAATATGGATAACCACTAATAACCAGTTTATCGTAATTTATTAGTACATATACCTAATTAGTAATCACTTCTAAATAATATTATATACTACAACCTGCTGAACTGCCTAAAAAACAGAACTAAAAAGTAAATTTAATTTAAATTTAATTTTTTTTTATTACCTACCTAATATGATTATCGCAATTTTATTTTTAATATTACAAATTAATATGAATCTTGGATTAGTCTTGATATTCGTTGTCATAAACACTTGCAACATATTTTAAAGTTTTTAGACAACTAACCCAGATCTACCTAATGTGTAAGTATATATAAGTAAATATATTTAAGATACTTAATAGTTAATACTCGACTTGGTCAATGTTCGTCAAAATTAAATAACTACTAGTTAAATACCCGACTAAAAATAGAATACATTTTTTCATCAAAGTTAAAAGTAATATTTCAAACAAAATATGAACATAAATTATATATATTAAGAAAAAAGCAATAACACAAAGATATCATGCAAACATTAATTTATTTGCCCTAGCCCGTTAAATATGCGAAATAACTTCAAATAAGATTTTGTATTTGARTTATAAATAATACAAAATATATTTTGAAATRTAGTCTTTAAATTTCTCTAAACGTGAATACATAATATTAAAATTATATTATTGAGCTTGATTATGACTTATGAGGTATCTCTTTTCTTCCCAAGTCTTAGTCCTAAGGGTTACGATAGTAAAGTTATGAGTGAAATATAATAATTATAATAATGCACTAATGAACATGATACATAAATATGCACAATTATTTAACTATAATAACTCGAACATTTAAAAATCACGTTTATTTTTTTAGCTTATTAGCTACTTCTTGAAATGAATTATAATTTATGAATTTGGAATAAGATCAATGATAGTACCTACAATATCTATATCAAAGTCTACAACGAATAACATGTATAAAAAGAAATATGAATAAGTATAACTGTTATAAGTTTCTTTTGTTTTACTATAATAACAATTTTTTTTTTGTGCGTAGACCGAAACTACACGATACAAATTAATAAATTAATTGATTTTAAGTAGGCCGTAGATCGTTTAATTTTCTTTTCATATATTCTTCGAGTTGTGAGTAATCAACTAATGTATTTTGTATGAGTTCTTTGAGCACAATAGGCCATTCCTGTTCTAATAAAATCAGCTTTGTCATTGCTTGACACGTAGTATTGATCAATGAATTGAAATGGACTAAACCTTTGTGTCTCCAAATACATTCATCCTAAAAAATACATATTATTATTTTTCCATGGTAAATTTAGTTTTAGATGTAAGTGTTATGCGTAGTTATTAAAGTGTTAAGTCAAAAAAAATATTAATTTGGAGTAGTGGACTACAAAGTAGAACGAAAGTACTAGGTGCACCGAGTTTGATTATTTACTATTAATTATTTATTAATCTAGTATTATACTTTTAKAGATATTTAAACGTATTAATAAATTAGTTGGGTAAAAATTAAAATAATTATTTTTACATTGAAACCCAAGTTCCATTCAAAAMATTTTTCAAATGCTATGATTAAAATAATAATATTCTACTATATTAAACCACAACAATGTGAACAATACACTCGTACCGACAGTCGGGCTCTTTACTACGAAGGTATAATAGGTAGTGTATCATGATTTCTACACAGATCACTAATCAGATTTTTAAAAACTTATGCAATAAAAATTAACTACTTGAGCATTTCCATTTTTACGCCATTGCAATGCTTCTTTGCAAACAACATTGCGTAAAGCTGGGTCCGATGACTTTAACCATTTACWAGCGCTTTCTTCAGCACTATAATCAAGTTGTAATTTATTGAGCAACGGTGTCAACAATGATTCCGGTAAGGAGTATAAAACCAAATTACTTAGTCCCTTGAAAGTATCCATTGATTTGGCTATTTGAGGTTCATCTACCTGCAAATAGAATATGTTTAATCAAAAATTAAAATACCTCAATTACTTTGTATTTTATAATAATTTGTATATACCTCTTTGTCATTGACAAATTTTAATCCCCAGTGAGATAATCTATAAATTGCATAAGAATGCCATTCTTTTCGCGTAATAGGGTTCCCATCCTCGTGTATGTACAAAGAAACTAATCCTTGTAAATCAGCCAAAGCATTCAACTGACCAAGGCAGTAAATATTTGTGTCACGAAAAAAATAGTTCTCCGCGTTGGGAAAACGATTTTTTATTTTAGAGAAAACTGGTACTAGAGAATTGAAATTAACATAATTGAATTTAATTGTTGAAACATCATTTGATTTTGATTGATTCCAAGGTTTGTCTATATACCGTAAGCTGCCTTGCCCGTATACGTTTAAGAACTTTCCTGTTATTTCGACTAAATAATCACCACCTGTAAATCACAAGTTGCCATTAAAATATTATTTTTCATTATCATGAATGACTACATGACCAAACCAAGGTAATAAAATCAATGCAATTTTATCATAATGCAATATTATAAGCACTACTTATAGATTATGAGTGGAGCGATGAATGTGTATTTATTTTTTTTTTGTGTCTGTCGGCAGCTTTTGGGATAGTAGAATTGCTTCAATTTTTTTCAACAGTATTTTTCTGGTAGGAAAATGAATCTAGTTGGTACTCAGCRTGGTCAATAGTAAAAAATTACTAATAGTTTTCAAAAACGGTAGGAAAAACAAATAAAAAATTTAGAAAAACCTTGAATTTTTACGAAAAACTGGTTTTCGACATGGTCGATTCTGTAGAGATATGAAATGTTCACTGAATGTTTATATTATCATTTTATATACACCAATTATCAAAATATTTTTACTTGTTCTGTGTATCGTGTATCGACATTTTCAGTTTCCAAATATTTTAATTTTTTTCTATAAATTTCAATGAAATTTTATTTGTTGGGTAAAAAAGCTTGACAATTTAATAAAATATCCCCTTAAGTTGATTTAATAGCAGTTGGAAAATATTGAAAATACATACACACGTGTTTTCTTTTTATATCTGTTTGAAGTTCAAATTCAAGACACAATGTATTAAATTACATTACATTTGGTTAAATTATCCTAGACTGCAGATTAAATGTCGCGTTGGTTACTGCAAAATGGTCAATGGATGTGTTCAATTTTAATTCAATATTTCAATGATATTATGTCATTGTATACGAAGAACGTTTCTAAGCGAATAGTGTCTGTCACCCGAATACTATATAGTATGCTAAGTATATTTTTATTATTTTATGATCTTACCGTTTGTCATAAAAGTATTTCATTTTAATATTAAAATAATAAATTAATTTTTACCAAAAAATTGCATTTTAAAATGTCAATGTGTGTTTAAAAATTAATAATACGTACCTATACTTAAAAAAATTTCAGTAACCCTTGTATAATATTTTTTAATTGCAACGAAATAATTAAAATTGTTATTCTTTGATTAAATATCTAATTCCATCTAAATTTTAACTTAAAATATTTACGAACATTTAAAATAAAAAATTGTTTATATATTTTTGTCATAGTATGAACTATTTATAAGACGCCTTATTTTAAATGTTCAATCCTTATAGTTATACAAATTGTACATATTTTTAATTTTTCAACTACAAAAAAATTTGCAAATCATCGTGATTTAGATGAATTTTGAAAACATTTTGACTTAATCAACACATATAAAAAAGGTTTTTGCACATGTATCTTGAATATTTTTAATTTGTTTTTATGATATATAATGGAYCTTGAATTACATATTAATGCTTTTTGACCCTGTGAAAACTACAGGGAATTTTCAATTTTGACCTCTCGAATGCACAAGCTAGATTTACTTTTCCACYAAAATAATATTAAATTTAAATTGAAGGATTATTTTCGAATGTTTGTCRTGTACACAGACATAAAGAATTTATATAACAAGTTGAGAACTATATATTAATCAAAAATATTAGGTTGATATTAGTTAAACGAAAACTTGAAATCCATGGTAATTTAAGCTTAATTAAATGTTAAAAGACTTGTATTAAGTTGCGATAATTTTCACTACATTAACTACATATTAATAAAATAATGTTTAAAGCACACAGTTAAACCTTGCTCTTTATTTTTATCCTTTAGATTTGAACCATTGCCTTTTGGTTTTGGTCTGGATGTTGATGGTCTAAAATTATTTTCTTGCTGATCACTTATTATAGGAGCTGTCATTCTAGGATTAGCACTTTTTATTGGTCTAGTATTGACAGCTGGCTCTTTGGTAATTTTTTCTTCTGAAGATGATTCACAACTGCTACTGGTGTCATCGCTACTAGAAGCGTCCACATTGCCTAAGCTAGAAACACTCCTTTTACTTTGTACGCTCTGGTCAGACGGGTATATTTCTAAGCTACTGCTATCGTTTTGTCTGAATTCAAATTTTCTTTTTGAAGATGGGCTTTGGTTGAGATACTGGTTCAGTATTGGCGGTAGTCTAGTTACAGGTTCTATGTCACTTTTGTCTGTGGTTGGACGACGAAAAAGCTTCTTTTCGACAAATTTTCGATTCTTGTATAAAAAGTACATTTTCTTTTTCCGTTGTTCTGCAGTAGCTGTTTCGTGATTATCTTCCAACGAATTTTTACATAATGCAGAATCACTTTTAGTACCTATAAAATCATATTAATTTATTATAAGTTAAAAAAATATAATACCTATACAATAAAATATATTATACATGGAATTTAGATGCACACTACTTATACAACCCATTATCGAATAATTTTTTATTTTAASTGAAGTATATGAGTTAACTTATTTTTACTCCCGTTTATAAAATTTATAAAATAGTTGATTATGTATGATGAAAAGTATTAAAGTTAAAGATATGTTTTAAAAAATGTAAAATAGAAAGTACGAAATGTTACGCGTATAATTAATTTTAATAGTTTAGTCACTAGGTAGGTTATAATATTATCACAAAAAATATGAATACATACTCAAATTACTACAGTAGAAGCTCATATTATTAAATAAATAAATAATAATTGAACTTTTGAATTATAATATATTATAATTGGTGTTACGAATCAGTAAAATTATGTCAGTATACGTTTCTTATTAATTTATGGTTGATAAACTGTGTCAGTACTCAGTGTATATTATACATGATTTTAAATTGATTCTATAATGTTATTACTTCGATTACATATAAATATATCATTAAAATAAAMATATTATGTATACATATGTATATTTATTATTATTGATACTAATTTTTAATCTAATAAATTACAGAACAATTACCAAAAGTTGTGGTAAATAAATTATTTTAAAACTAATGAKGTAAAATATGTTATATAACTATAAACTGTTCACCGTCTTCTGTTTCCGTTGAACTTCTTAGATCCTTTAGTGAAGTAGCTAAATTGGGGTACACACAATGCTGAGAACGCATCTGTTCCCAATTAGATTTAGCATTGTATATTATGTTATCACGACCATTTTTCCCCGGATCTTGCATAGAATTTGCTGCTACACATTTAAGACTTTCTCGAGTTTCTTTCCAAATCACAGCAGTGCGCCTCATCTGATCGGTCACCTGAGTACGATTCAGTGCTTGAAGCTGAGATAGATGTGATACTAAGAATGATACACACTCGTCTACAGCCGAAACAGGATTATTATCAATAGCTAATTCTTGAAGCTTATTTAAATGCACCAAACTCGGCATATCGTCAATACTAGTAAAATGTTATAAATAAAATCGGAACATTAGGTTAGATTTTTAAAATTGAACAAATCAAACATTGGAACTTACGTGTTAATTTCATTGTTACTTAGAAAAAGTTTCGTTAATTGTGGAGTCTCTGAGAATCCTAAAAGACATTTTAAACGATTTCTTCTAAGATTAAGTTCTCGTAACGACCTTAGGCCAGCAAGGTCCAAAGAACCCAATACTTTGATTTGATTACCAGCTAAATTTAAAACTTTTAATTCACCTTGACTTTGCAGCCCACCTACTTGAGTTAATTGGTTACCATGTAAGTCTAGAACTTCTAATCGATGTAATGTTTTCAATCCCTCTATGCGTTTAATTCTATATGATAAAAATAAGATGCGATCAATTAGACAATAATAAATTTTTAAACAAATGCTAATAAAATAATTTAAAAAAAAATAATACATATAAATACCTACTTACCGATTTTTACCTAACAAAAGAACACGTAGATTATTCAAGCTTTCGAGACCTGTAATTCTTTCTAGTTGATTACCATAAACGTCCAAGAAAACTAATCTAGATAAACCTGCTCCAGAAATACCATCTAATTTTGTTAGTAAATTGTGTTGCATTGATAGCAGTCGAAGTCGAGCTTCACCAGTAATCACAGGGACGCTCATCAAACCTCGTCTTAAGAAAGATAAAAAAAATTAAAAATATAAATAGGTACGCATATCTAATATTAATAGTAGGCATGTATTATTAAAATTAAAATAAATAAACACCTATCTAAACTCATTCGTTCTGGATTACGACTCTTGACACATTGAGACCTTGTAGCTTGAATTTTTCCATCTGTCAATGTCTGTAATGACACTAAATTTGTGTTGCTCATATTTTCATTTATATTATTAATATTGCTATAAACAAAACAAATTAATTATAAATTACGTCCTTATTGTGCAAATTAAATATTTTGAAAGTAATTATGAATTAAAATACAAAAAAATTATGCAATACTTTACTACAGACGATCGTTTCTGATGAAGTCGAGGCTTAAACGCTGCGGGTAGTAATGGAATGTTGGTGCATGTTTATAGCAATATTAATAATATAAATGAAAATACAAAAAAATTATGCAATACTTTACTACAGACGATCGTTTCTGATGAAGTCGAGGCTTAAACGCTGCGGGTAGTAATGGAATGTTGGTGCATGTTTGTCTACGTGGTGGATTTAAACTACCATTGGTGAGTTCTGTATTGTTTATTCCAAATATGGCAAAATCGGGGTTCTCGTGCTATGACATTGAACAAGAACAAATATAACACTAATTTAAATWTTCGAAACTACATTTTATAGATGTAAGGAGTATAATATTATGTATATTGTATGGACTCGTTTATTCAATGTATTTATTTTATTATTTAATATGTAAACTAAATAACATAATAATAATATTACTATTATTATTATATACTATTATGTATGGACATATAATATATGTTATAAATACTAGTGTACTTACGTTTAAAATTCCGTTGATCGGCGACATAAAATCAGCCATTTGTGTATTTGTCGCCATAGCAAAGTGCCTATAGCGTGTGTGTAGTCATTTCRATTTGTATAAAGGGGTTCTAGCACGGCACCATGTCATGTTTGTTGTACCAGACCCCTTCTACTTATAATAAAACTTGGTCGATTTTTACATACAACAAAAGGCGGCGACATCCCTACCATGCAAAAAATTACGTGATTTCATATATTATACAAATAACAAATGTACATTCAATGTGTATTATAGTTAATATCTTCCTAATTTATAAGGATTTATGAAAGTAAATACTTATTACCACCATACCACTTCGTATAATAATAATGATAAAACAAATAAATATACAATGTATTCAATCTTAATCTTAGTAAATTTCCTACTAAAAATCAAATATTATTTAWTCTTTATGGAATATAGAAGGAGGCACGCAAATGTATTTTAAGAAGCGAAAAAAATATATAAAAAAATTTATTAGAGGAATTCACACTGAAGACATTAGTATGTAATCTAAAAGTAATTTAATGCAGCAAAAACCTAATGACAATTATATTAATATCACATTKGATCGATAGTTAAAGTGTTAAACGGTGATTAAATTTTAAAAATTGTGTACACAATAACCAACTAGAGTTAAAAATTTGAAAAAAAAATGAGATAGAGGGTATTGGCGCTCGCAGGCAAATGAATTTTCAGAAGCAAAAAAAATTTACAGTAGGAATTCACACTGAAGACATTAGTAATTAATCTCAGAATATACTAACGTAGCTAGAAACTATTGGGAATTAT